CGGGAGCGCCCTAGGACGGCCACGACAACGCGGGGTGGCCGTAGGCGGCGATCGGCGCAACCGGCGGTGGTGCGTACGACCCTGCCAGGTACAGATGGCGTCCTTGGAAGGCTGTCACGAGATCCCGCAGCGTGGTGGTGACCTGCTCCGGTGTGACGACGGCGGTCGTCGACGGCGCGGAGGTGACTGGAGTCGGCGGCGTTGGGGAACCCGCGGTGGTGATCGGCCCCGGCAGGGTCGGCGCTCCGTCAGTGGTCATCGGGGGAGCGGACAGCAAGGCGGTGGTGCCGATGGGCAGCGGTGGCGTGGGTGTTGATGAAGACATGATCGAACCGGAGTCTCTGGATACCAAATTGGTAGAACCCAGGGTCCTACCGGTCCTGCTCCTTAGGTTGTAGGGGAAGACCAGGGGCTGAGAGGGGCGAGGGCGCGGCGGCCTGCGCACAGGCGCCGTCGCGATGAGAGAGGAGGGAGGCGGCGGCTGAGAGAGGGAGGCGGCTAGGGTTAGGGCCCGGTTCCTCTGGGAGCCGGGCAATAGAATTCTTCTTATTGCTTAATTCTCAAAATAGTCTTACCTGTGGACCAAGCCCCTAACTAAACCTGCCCGATGAGCCTCCTACGGGCATAAGTCTGTCCGGTCATAACATATATCTTCTCTAAGGAATGACAACAAACAGCATATCAGTGTTTAGGAATCAAATTATCAGTTACATCAAAAGTCAGCAATGAGCAAACTGGCATGTAAAAAGCACACTACAAAAGATAGCCCGCGTCCAGTTAGGCATAAAACAACGAGGCATGAGTTACCGACTTCCTACGCAGAGTGAAAACTTTGTTGCGCCATACACACGTTACGAATTTTCATAGCCTGTTCCTGGTTCATCTAAACAAGAAATTAGTTGGTATCTCCCCTATGCAAGCGGTCGCATAGTCCTCAGCGAGGTGTGGTGCGGCTTTCTTGTGAGGGCATATGTACTTGTTCATGAAATACTTCTCAGGCGTACTGACTGCAGTATAGAAGCTCAGCTCGCGATCTACCAATCCATTTTCCTTGAGGAACTTGAGAACATAGTACCGGGGCCTGACCCGGCCCTCCAGGCTAAGACAAGTAATTATCGGTCGATGAGCAATGTACATGGGCTCCAACCCCACCTCAGATAGCAGGAACTCGGACTTGCGCTGTAGCATGTCCTTAGAAATCCTGAGCAGCGTCGGAGCCTTAGACAAAGCAGTGACCACCTCAGCAGCAGACCACCCGAAGGTGTTCTTCAAGTAGTCCACTTTGGCGGCGAGTAGCCGCGGGTCTTTGCCTCTTTGGCGACGACAGCGGCGGCGTCGGTGCCGGAGAGGCCGGGGCCGGAGAGGAAGGCGAGGACGGCGTCGGGGTTGGCGGGGGAGTTGAGGTGGGAGAGCTTCGTGAAGGCCTTGAGGGCTTGGGGCCGGGTGAGGCCGCAGGTGCCGACGAGGTACTCCTCCACGGCGAAGCTACTAGGGTTCGAGGGAATGGGGTCTGCGGGGGCGAAGAGGAGGCGGCAGAGAGAGGAGTTGGGAGCGGCGGAGACGGGTGAGGACGGAGCTTCGGAGGCGGAGCATGGCGGCGACGGCGGCGGACGGAGCAGAGCATAGGTATCTCCGATGGGTTGCAACAGGCAGCGTGTCTGTGTGGTGGTGGTGAATGGGCTGCAATCCTTCCGTTTGTCGTGTGTATGTGGGCTCTATTTGACAGGAGTTTTGATAGGCTCACATAAAATATTTCTTACATCTCAGGAAAAAAAACATATGATGTTTCTTGGACTTTTGGTTGTCGGTTGAATATTTTGAAATCTCTGGTTAAACCATCCCACCAAACTGCTACTCCTAACTGCGGATATGAAATCTTCTAAAAAAAACTGCGGACATGACAAAGATAAATGTGTCCAGGAATAAGAAGAAAGGAGATGTTGGTGTGCCGTAACAGAGATGGACGTTATCAGGAGGACTCGACGGTCATCTTCAGTGGCGACCCTGACCCTTGGACTCTCGAGGCTGTGGCCTGCATAGAAGCTTTCGCATTGGCAGAAGCAGTGACGGAGCTAGAGCTAGACGGATTCTGCGGGGGGCCAATGACAAAATACCAGTGTTTGGAGTCAAGATGGGAATGTGTCAGCCTGGACCAATGGTCTCAAGGCCAATTTTAGGAGCCACGGGTCGACCCATTCGGACAAAACCACGTGGCCTCGCTGGCCCATTGGGTGCCCCAGGGCTGACCCGAAATTCAGCTAGAATTCCACAACTTTTTAGCTATGTATACACTACTTTTGCAGACTACTCCTACAACATTTAGAGCATGTCCAGAACAGTTAAGATACACACCATGATGCAACCATCCGAGACACATAAGGCAGGACCAGAGCATTATGAAGATGTCGGATTTAATTAGTAGCAGAAATGCACTATTGCAAACTCAGATCAACTTCTATACGTAAAAAAAAAATTAGATCAACTTATTTTACAATACGGTTCTTCCATGCAACAAAGTTAGCACTTCAAATTGAAAGGCTTGGCCATCTCATTACAATATGCTCAAATCCCTACGTACCTGCAGGATCGAGGAGAGCACGCCGGCCTCAACGTCGGTGGGGAGCACCCTGCCGCGGGTGCTCACAAGCGCCGCGGTCATCGCAGCGGCACCTGCCAAGCCCCGCATCGCAGCAGTAGCGATGGCGCGAGCCCTCCTGGCGTGCGCGACCTCGAGCGCAGGATCCGCTTCCTCGCCGCCTTGCGTCTTCCTCTCAACGTGCTACTCCTTACTTCGCAAGTCTTGGGCTCGAGAGTTTGCCGTGTGCTGTACTGAAACCGTGCATGGAGTATTCTAAATATACTAAACCTAGCTAGGATCCTTTTATCTGGTTTTTTTGATTTTTTTTTCTATCAGTGAAAACTCGGCCAATCGAAACGTGCCATGTCATTTACTGGGGGATATGGCAGGATACACATTGGGGTGCACATGCGATTTTATTCAGTATTGTTAAAGAAAACTGACTGAAAATGAATCTCTGGATTTCATTAATGATGATTGGGGTATATATACCCTCCCAACAGCCGCCAATTAAAGCGGTAATTACAAAGAGACATGTCCGTACGGGCACAGGCGTCCGCACGGAGCAGGAGAGGCGGTGGACACACACAACCGTCTAATGACGGTTCTAATTACAATTAATCCTAATTAATTTTATTCCTAACAAGTATATTATTCTAGGTCAACCGAGCAGTCTGTCTGGAGGAGGAATTGGGTAGGCATGCAGGGGCTATAGTTGCGTGACGTGATAGATTTCGCTGTTGAGTGCATGCATGCATGGGCGGTGGGTGTCCGTGTCTTCTTTCCAATGAGCGGTTGCCGCCTATCATGCAGGGGAAATTTTTTATGACATTTCAAAATACGTTTAAAACACATTTTGAAAAACAGGAGCATATGCTCCTAGGTGCCAAAACGCCACTCTCAAGAGTCTGTATCTTTCTTCATAGATGGACGCCTCTATATATATAGATCACCACCTTGACTGGTCTGCATGGCACGATGTTCGCTTCGCCTTGTCTATCCCAGCCGGGCGCGTAACTACCTCCGCTCTTCTGCCCACTCGGCAGCCACCCTCCCCAACTCCACCCCAGCCGTGGAGCCGCCTGCAGGCCGTCCGATACGGCGTCCCTCTTCCCGGCGTAGGCCAGGCCCAGGAGGTCCGGCTGGAAGTTGCTCCCTTCTTTCTCTGCCCGGCGGCCGGCGCCTCGCATGCCGACGCGCCGTCGCCGCCGTCATGTATGCCGACCACAGGCTTGCGCTCTCTGATGCCGCCAAGACCAAGCATGCTCAGGTATGTGTCCCGATGCTTGAACCGGCACCGACGATGGCGCACACATGGAGTCAGCGACGTAATTAAGCCTATGTCCTAACTCCTAAGTCCTAACTGCTCAGTCAGGTTCTCCGGCGAAGACGAAGCCGACGCCGCCAGCCCGCCACGATGGAGCGGAGGCGGCGGCCGAGCACCTCCTCGTGGATGGGCGAAGGACTGGACTGGATGTGGGGGAGCGGAGGACGATCTCGACGGTAGATATCTTGCAAAGCTGCCGCCATGCATGCGTCGCCGCAGGACACGACGATAGATGAGGCCATCTACTGTGAATGTCACAGGCCTGGAGGACGCGAAGGACGTGTCGTGGGCCTTCATGATTTCGCGCGCGTCGTCAGGGGACAACCGCGTTGAGCTCGCCGAGGCGGAGCATCATGCATGAGCGGGCCGTGACGCGAGTGCAGTGCGGGAGGGCGGTGGCGAGGTTGTGTAGGTGGACGATGACCAGCAGCGCCCAGCCGCCCACGACCTCCGCGGCGTCAAGAGGTCGCCGAGGCGGAGCATCATAGCGGGCCATGGCGTGAGCGCGGGGCGGGGCAGCGTAGGACCATGCGCCGGTATCCTCGAGCCTAACAATCGGCCGGTGCTTCGAGCTCGAGCCCGCATATGCCACGGCAGCCCCGCTGGTCCGCCTCGCGCCTCTGGCTGTCCAACGAAGCCCGTTCCTCGACCTGACTCTGCCCGGGCTGCTGGTACCTTCCCGTGTCACGGGCTCACGGCTGACGCAGAGGAGGCAGAGGAAAGATGTTCCTCATTTTCTTCACGGCTGATTACTTGCACATACAACCAACAGCTTCGTCAAACAACTCCAACCATGTATTACCATCACCCATTAACCTTCGGCTTCACCTCTGTGTCGTCAAGCTCCCTTCACCTCTGGATGGCACTGCGCCGCCCAAGGTGGCGAGGCTTTTTCGGCGCTCGCAAGTGCCGGTCGCTTATATATGGGCAACAGCGTGCTTTACCTGTGGGCCAACAGGTTCTGCGTCCCTAAATTGATCAGCATCTACAACGGAGTACCGGGGCAGAGCAGTGAGCATGAGCTGATCGACATTAATCTCGCAGGTGTGGAGGTGTTGAACCAAACTCTGGATGATCAAGCACAAGTGTTGGCCTGTAGGGATTACATATTCGACCTCTGTGGCACTATGTGCTTACGTCTTTTGTTTACTTTCAAGTTCAACACTTGAAGTTGTTAATTTACATAGAGTTGAGATTAAGTTTCAGATCAACACTCTCTGAATCTTCCTCAACATGGATTCAGCATGCGGCTACCTAAATTTTATGCTGTCCAATTCACTCACCCTTGTTTTTATGGCTAATTTTTTATCACTTGAGCCGTCAACAAGTTGAGCTGGCCTCTTTCATTATTAGTAGCCGATGAAAGAAGCCCACCAACTTCATTGCTGATATAAGTTATAAGACATGGAATTTTATACCTCCTTTTGAGTTGAACTATTGTTATTTGTTAAGTTGTACTAAATCAGCGACGAGTAATATGGAACGGAGGGAGTATTTGTCAAGCCTTCCGTTTAAGTTATTCTAAACATTTTCCTGCTTTATATGTTGAATCAAGGTTTCTAGAGAAACATCTCTGTTATGTGAAGGTAGTTGGTGTTATGTTCTGATTTTGCTTTTGGAGACTTAGAGAATCGTGTGGCAATTTGCCTGAAGAAACCAGTTTGGTTGTTCCATTTATTATTGGGCATTTCTTGAAAAGCAGCTGCATTGCAGGGATCCCAACCGAGGTGTTGTATACTGTTGCTTTTGGTATTTGGCACATGCATTCATCGGAGGTAGCTTGCTCCAACGACGAGCACCTGGTGCGTCCACACAATGATCTTTGGAGACCAATCAGCGATCAGATATTCTGAAAAAAAAGATTGTGACATATCCTTACTGTTTGTGACATAAAGATACCAAATCTCTAAGAAAATACCTGGTGTTACAGGCTAGGTATAAGGGCAACCAAACGTCAGTATCAACATCTACAGATTCTGAAATTGTCTTTTGTTATCATGCTTTGCAGATAGTGCAGAACTTTAGAGATCACTGAAATGCACGACTTGCTGGTGAGTGCTTCGGTTTTTCCTTTCAAGTTACCTTCTTGATTTGGTGATCTGATATTTATCCCCGTAGGCTTATGGTGGCTATACTATCTCACACAGATTGGCCTACCAGAGAGTAGGACA